TATATTCGTCCCTGTCCTGCTCTAGGCAAAGACATCACTAGTACTGAGGCACCAAGGTAACCTCAGTGAGCCTACCGATCTGTATGTACTGCTGGAAAGGGAGTGACTTGAAGCAGAATCGCATGCATTGTGTTCCCCACACCTGATTTACCCAAGCCGGGGAAGGAGAGACTGTGCAATCGAGTCCTACACACCATCTGCACATAGCCAACGGCCCTCAGAGTTCATCCAAGCCCCCTTGAACTGCAAGTTCTTCAACTGCAGGCTCCCCAGCTTAGTGCCAAGTGAAGCTAGGGCCAGTCATCCCCAACTTCAACGCAAATTCAAGCTACGCCCTTCATTTATTTTTATTGTTAATTAATAATTATCCTGTGTAAACAGAATCCCTTGGTTTTCCTTGTTGTTTTTAAATATATGTATCCGTTAGATTTAGGATATCTGTATTTTTGTACAGTTAAAACTTTTCGCTAACTTAGCCGGAAACGCACTTATCTCCACTGGTTGGCTTACAATAAAATGGCGTAAACTAGTAAACAAATAAATAATGTAAGCAGGTGTCATAATTTTCATATTATGCCCGCTACAATAAGATAATACTTACAATTTATCATTCAGTTCATTATATTGTAAAGTATTTTGAACAGTATTTCACGTTAGGTTTTCACTTAATCGTTGCACTAACTTTTACGTTCATTTTGTTAGGAGGACTATCTAGCTGAAGGTGGGTACAGAGAGATGATAACTCCTTATTGGTCCTTGATGCAAGGTCCTAAAGTTTCTTGTATAATACCAATGGATATCTGAATTCTTCGTTGAAAAACTGCAACGTGAAGAAGGCAATTAATTCCTATCATATTTAAACACAAAGACTCCAAACTTGTAATTTATCTCTTGGATATCGGAAGCGTATTGAATATTACAGAAAAGGGGGCGGCGTCTGCCGTAGATTTGAATAATTCATTATTCTGAGGGAGATTTCTTTTGCACACCATATGTGTTTTATAATATATATAAATTACAATTTCGCTTGTCGTGTATATGCCAGAATACCATATTGCAAATGCGGTAAAGACAACGTATTGTTTAGAGAGCGGGGATCAATTGCTATGCGACGATTCACCTACCTACACCTCATGGCTTTTCGATTCAGTATATCCAGCCTGATGTAGGCCCTATATAATTATATCCATTTTTGTCAGAAAAAGTTACCACTGACTTCAAAGTCTTTTGTAAATGCCAATATTTCCTGTAAGTTATTTCTTTAAAACTTTCAAACTGGCAAACCTTTTTTCTTCCATAAGTTATTACCTTAAAACTGCCAGAAAATTATTTGTATCTTTGATTCTACTTACGGTACAAGTGCGCCAGTTGCTCTGGTTTTTCAGATTTAATACGTTGATAAATATCTTACACTGGACTTTCTCGCCAGTGATTTTCTTGAGAAGAAAATAAACGAAAAATAATGGCAAACTCTATAAAAGGTTTCGCACACGTTATCACAGGTAAAGCTTCATGCTCTATTATCAGCTTTTGATCTGCCATGTAATTTAGATGAGCTGTTGTGCAAGCAGAAATTGACCGAGTGCGTCTGATTTTCTTCAGACAAAATGGGTAGAGTGAACATATCCAATATCCAACGGTAATATTCCCTGAAAAATTAAAAGCAAATGTTTTAACACCTTTCTGGTAACTTTTTATGCACACGGTGTCAACAATCCAAAGCCAAAAACGTTGCGGTGTTTAATTTTTAAACAAAGACATGTTGATGTGATAATAAATTTAGACACATAGAAGCCTTTAAGTTGTTAATAAACAATACACAGAAACACGTTTATAACACCTTTTGAACACCGAAACACGTTTATTTAAAGCAAAATGTACTATAGTCACTTTCCCGAATTGTGCGACCTGTACCCTCGCGGCGACAGAGTCGATTCACTACCGCCCTCTGTTGTGACACACTGTTAAAAAGAGAAATTTAGGGGTGCAGACCACTAATTCAAGTGACAGTTTCTGGCCAGCTCATTAGCATCAAAAGTGCCCCGACAGTATCTTTTGAAAAAGAAGATTGTTTGGCCCCCAAACAAAGGATCAACTCCCTGGGTCTTAGAGCTTTCATGTGCAGAAGGGCTAAAAAATACGGTTGCTAAATGGTCCTAAGTGCCTGAGAAAGGGTTGCCACGTGATAAATGGCTGCAATCAGACTTCGGAAAAATCACTTTTTGGAGGGAGTGATTTTATTTTGTGGGAATAATTAAAAATGTAATTGGTTAACCCACAAACAGTTGAAAAGAAATTGAAAGATAATTAAGTGACCAGACAAGAATTTCATTTGTGTTTCAGAAATCTCAGGGATGTTGGCGTGCGTGTTATTGGGCCCTGAACAGTGCTGGTTTTACACCGTTTTAAATTAGGCTTGAATTAGTGGACTGTACCCTTAGCCTGAGGTTACCGTCTGTTTACAGAAGGTCATGGGTTTTTCATACTGTGAGCCATAAAGATGTCGGCACTTTGCTGTAAAAGGGGAAACAAACAAACTTCGTGACACCGTGATGACGTCTAAGTGAAGCTTTCCACGCCACTTAGCATGCACCGTCTGTTGATACCACTCAGTGCCAACCAATCTCGAGTTTACATCACTAAGAAAAAAATGAAAAATGAAATAAAGCTGCATTACATTTTGTTAGTAACCCGTCAGCAACTTGTGCAGAGTAGCTCCGTGAACTTAACTGCTGCTATAATGCAGATAGCACCGTAGGCCCCCTATATATGGTGGGCTATCTCTCTGTATAAGCCTATAGCTCCGTGAACTTAACTGCTGCTATAATGCAGATAGCACCGTAGGCCCCCTATATATGCTGGGCTATCTCTCTGTATAAGCCTATAGGCCCTATACATATGATGAGGGTTTGATACTGAACAACTGAATAATTACTCAGTTATAATATATACAGGGATGTCCCGTATATGAACACAATATCATTGCTGATCTGATAGCAATATTATTTCCTCATTGAGTGGACTTTTTATCATTTTGTAATAAAAGTTGGTAATCGATCATATATACTGTTCATACTTCGTAACCATCTGTGATTATGTTCACAACGCCAGCTCGACTTGATTTGCACTCACCAAATGTGATCCCGTATGCAGTACATGTATCGCATATCCTCGCCTGTTTTAAAAGGATCACGGCCAGTAGTTTGTGAATAGTAGCAAAAGTTTAAAAAAGAATACATAGAGTAAAATATGTGGAAGTCTGACAATAATATTGTGTCAGAATTTGATTGAACAAATCCATCATCATGGAAGCCCTTAACGTTTCACGGCACGTCGTTCACAAAAGCAGTTCCACAAAGGAAGGAACACTGCTGGAAAACACAACCTTCACATGACTCCTGAGAAAGGGTGTCAAACGCTGTTAACTGTAATACATTTTGACGGAGCAACAATTAACTGCCAGCCTATGTCCCATGAATGCCGCGGGCACAGAAATGGTGCCTAGTCGAAATGCTGCAAGCACTGATTAGAATAATACCACACAGTCAAGTCTGTAGGAACGAGGGCATCTTTTGTTACTAGTAGAGTGATCCTTAAATTTTTAATAGGCCCGGCATTGTGGGTGTAGAGATTATGAGAGAAGTGACGTACGGTACCACAGTGTGATCTATGCCTCTGCAATTTCAACGTTTAAAGAAGAAATTAAACATCCAGTTTTTTTTACTGTAAACGTAGGCCTCGACTGGAATTTCACAGGGTTTTGAGGGATTAATTGCTTTAATATAAAACTTACAAGTTTACACGCTTTTATATAATTGATCAGCAAAACCAGTTTCTATGAGTCGTTCCCACACTGTTGTTCTCTTAATAAGGCATCTCCACTGAACGGTTTGTCCTTGAAAGTCAGTGTCAGTCTATACAGCACATCTTCAAAAACGTACTTTTCAAAGCTTTAGTGCTAATCATTGAGTTGTTTTTGTACACACAAAATTAACATAGTTTGAATACGCCTTGATGAAGAAACCAATTATGGCGAGTGGGGGTAAGGGACTCTGGAAAAAATTGGGGAAAAACCCAGAAAATGGAAAAAACAAATCCTTGTAAAAACGGCGAAATTGACTCCCCTTCAACTGTTCAATGGTTTCCCTCCTCTGGAAATCCCCTCCCCCTTGCCGTATTTTGCCCCCTCCACCCAAACAAAGTCTCGTGGAAATTATAACAAACATTATAACAAACAAGTTCTGAGAATTCAGGTCTTTGGATGGGCCCAGAAAGGAGTGGAATGGGTTTTTGAGGAGTTGCATTAGTATATGACATGCGATTATAGGGAATTTTTTCATTTCAGGACCTTCCCCAAACCTGGGTGGTTAAAAAATCAGCATAGACTCCGGCTACCAATTTCCCTATTTTGAAATACGCGTTTCGTTTAGAATCGTGCCTCACTGTATGTCCGATATTTTCACCATTTTCTTCACTTTTTTTACATATACCACGTGAACAAACCTGCTGTACAAAAGATTTCGAGGATGTGCTGCATTATTGAAACTCTTCCTTTGACACAATCATTGAAATGGCTTGAAATTCTCAGATGCCATCGAGTGTAGTATACGTCAACACAGCAGCACGTACGCTGCAGCATTCGCAAGCGAGTACTGCTTTTTGCACGGTAACCGCCAGTCATCATTGTTTGCGAGCGCAAAGGATGGTGGGATGGTGGTGCGGCATTCCGTGTTATTATAAGTGGTGGTCGACGCGGTGAGACGCAATGCAGTCACCGCTACATGAAAGCAGGAACTGCAACGGTAAATGTGCTCATTAATAATTATGCATCATGCTGCTCACTGTTTTGTCACAATGGAGCTAGTTGGAGGTCCAAGGTCTGTCTACCATAACAACGTTGCCCTGATATTGAACGTCTATGCAACACAGTCATAGGCGGGGAAAATAATAAGGAAATAATTGAACCATTGTGCAGGATGGTAAAATTGCCCTTTTTGGATAATCAACTTTCTGTTTTAATCATAGCACCAACTATTTCACGGTGACTGACTAAAAAATCGATTATTCGAGAGTGAGGACTGTTTAAATGCTAATTGTAAATGATTTTGCGGGTGTTGTGATTGCAAACGATCAGAATATTACATGTATATGACTCTAGGTAGGTTTCACAATCGAGTATTTAGTCAAAATATTGTTCATGCCGTAGTAAAGCTCGTGAATTATAAATGATTTTATTCAAAATATGCCAGCTGCATTGTATATACCTCACAGCTACTGTACACTACGCATGCCCAGTAACTTAGACTGCGCATACCACGCCCATTTAAACGCGCCGGCTTTTTTATTTTTCGCTCAACGAGGCTTGCTGTAAAGGAATATCTTGGTGTGCGTCTGCACCCGATTCCGACTGCATTTGCCGCAAGACAAGGGAACGCGGAGAAGGATCGAAATTTCACGTGCTTAACCTGTTAGGATAATGGTGAGTGTCACGAATTTTATTTTTCATGTAAATCCGTTTGTAGGGAAAAAGCCTGAAACTCTATGTTGGTATCCATACTTCTTGCGGCTGCATTGTGTATCCGGGCATGACCTCTGCGAATTTAATTATTACAGCCACATCGCACAAAAAGGTGTACGTGATGTTTCTATTATTTCCAGCATTTATCGTGACGGGACAAACAAAAACCATGCAACTTCTGCAAAAATTTTGCAATGAAATTTAATACAGGCAATTTATAAAACCCAAAAGCCTTCCCGTAGCTGAAATGCGGACCAAATTTGTGCTCAAGTTGTGAACGCTGAAGACATGGGTTCACAAAATAATAAGTTGTTTACGCTGGAGCAATGTTTACAATGCAGGCTACTAGAATGTTATGAGAAGTGTGTGTCTCCCGGACCATTTTTACACTGATCATCATTTTTTTATTTCAGGCAGATCAACTGACAGAAGAGCAAATTGCTGGTAGGTGTGACTTAATATTAAAAGATTAAATTTAAATCCTCATCGTTGACGACTTTCGCACATCAGTTAGATCACTATGCTTACACTGATTTTTGTTTTTGCAAAAAATAAATTGTGGAAAGCCTTATGATGCAGCGTTGTTGTTTCTGTGACCAAAAGTGGAACCGATTTCTGTCTCTATTCACGGTTGTGAAACCGCTGTTTCCAAGGTCATGGATTTGATCAAGAAAATAAAATTCAGAAGCTTCTGCAAATGAAACTGTGTCTACAGCTCTTCAAGCACAACATCATTCATGGCTTATTCTGGCTACTCACTTGAATTGGTTCTATAGTGCATGGTTTTCTTGATGGATTTTTTAAGCATAGGTCTACTCGCAAGAGTTTCTGTTGTCGCTTTGTTGTTTTTTGTTTTTTCACACAAATAGAAGAAATGAAAGCAGGGTATGCGGGAATTGCTTTATTACATTTGTTCGTTTAGTTACTCTAATTTAATCTCGTGTTAGTCGTGTCATGTAATTATTTTTAGTACTGTGTATTGCCGTCGCTTTAAAAGGCTTGACACAGCAAATAATTGTCATACGGAAATGTTAATTAGTTTCAAAAAGCAGTACAAAAACAAAATGCATGATACCCGATAAGGTCAGCGTATAGGCCACCAAGATTGAGCTCAGTGACACGGCCTTATCATTTCTTCGTGATGGGACACAGACAATTTTCTGATTAGAATGTGAAGGCTATATATACATGGACATGTATCTAGTATAGGCATGGAGATGACTAAGTCCCTGGTTTATTCAAGAGAGAGCCCTCGTCGGCAACTGACAAGTGATTTTGGAGAAATCGTCGTTCAGCGCACTCCCAGCGTCTCAACGAACAACATTGTGCTCCTGGGCTCACTAATGTCAGTGTACTTTTTGCCACATGGGTGTCACGGTAACCACTAATTTATTTGCAAAACCAGGTTGAGTTCAGGAGTTATTGTATAAAGCCCGCCTCGAGCCCATTTTTTTCTCCGCTGCTTTGCTCAGACACTTGACAAATACTGCTAGTAATATCGTGCAGCATAAATGTTACTGATGAACGGTGCTTCAAACTAAAATGGGCAATTGCAACCCAACAGAATAATGATCTCAAACGATGGTCAAATGTTGCCTGAATAAATCCAACAAGGGTTTACTACGGATATGAATGGAATGGCTTTTATTAAAGATTTATAAATGGATTTATTGCTCGTCAAAATTTCAATATAACGAGGCTCATAATTATTACCCGTACCATGATGACTGTGTTAAAGTCCATGTTTCTTATCAGTACCATTATCCTACATTCTCTGCTCAAAAACTTCAAAATCGGAACTTCATTTGAGAGGCATTCATCCAGTTCATTTCAGTAGATCAGAATGTCTGACCTTTTTTGGACTGTGTTTCCGTGGAGGGCAAATATGAGGGTCTGAATATTCTTCGGGAGAAACTTGAATGTTCTACCCGCTTCTGCATCGGAAGTTGCTGTCCTAATGTTTTTATTTCGTTTGTGTGTGTGTGTGGGTGCTTTAGTGTGTATCCATGTTATCTTTTTTCTGGTGTTTATTTTAGCTTTGCTTAGGTGAAATGGGGGTTTCACTTTCAGTCAGCAAAAAAAACAAAATAATTTTTATTTCAATTCTGTGAGCAGCATATGAATTTTTCGAGTCACATGTAGTATAATTGTGGCCTAAGCTGTCAAGAAAGAGTGTAGATCCTGAATATTCTAAGTGTATATTAAAAACTGTTTATATAGCCAAATTTAGGCCTACGTTGGTTTATAAAATGTGTACCCGGTATTTGAACACTTTTATTTCAATACATTTCAGAAGAAAGGATATCTGAAACATTAATTTTCAGACGCAGATTTCAGTGTTCTTTCTTCGACAAGCATTCGTTGGTGCATCAACACACTTGTATCCACTGCTACCTTGCACTTAACAACAATTCTAAATAATTCATTTCCCGGTAAAGTGAAAAATAGGCTCTACTGCGTTTTTAGTGATTTCAAGCAAGGAATCATTTTCTTTTGTGCACAGAATTCAAGGAGGCGTTCTCCTTGTTCGACAAGGACGGCGATGGCACCATCACCACCAAGGAGCTGGGGACGGTCATGAGGTCACTGGGTCAGAACCCCACGGAGGCTGAGCTGCAGGACATGATCAACGAGGTTGATGCCGATGGTAGGTCAGCAATATCAAGCGGCCATTTTAGGACAGCATTATAAAAGCACTTACATGTACACGATGAAACGTATTAACTTGTATATAATTTGGTTTTATTTCAGTATGTGTAAGCTTCAAAAGTGACTTCTACCATTCTTTGAGTTTACTACCCTGTTGTCCTCGTCTTTTTTATTTCTGAATAACGTGGACTGTATACTGTAAACAGAAATTAGGCTGCTCATAGTCGCCAAGCAAGCAGGATGTAGAGATACTTATCACACAACAATACCGAATACCTGGATTTCTCTGGAACAGTCAACGTATAGGCCTATAACGTGTAAAGCGTTTTGCGCCAATGCATCAAGAGTTCAGGCAATATTGTGCATGTTTATGTGCCTGTTAACAAAGAAAACTCCTCGAGGGAACTGAATTCCGAGCGTTCGTCGTTTAACTCCATGGTCATCACCGTCTCTGAGCATATCCACAAGGCCTGCAGATCAGCATCCTGGGGAATTGTCAAAATCGGCAAAATTAGGAAATATCTGACCAGTTCCTCAACAGAGAGAGTGGTCCATGCACACATCACATGTCACACTGATTACTGTAACAGCCTGTTGTCTGGTTTGCCCAAGTCAAACATCGCCCCACTGCAACGCTTTCAAAACTCTGCTGCCAGAATGGTTACTCGTACTAAGAAACACAAACACATTACACCAGTCCTTTGGTCTCTTTATTTGCTTCCAGTTATCGAACGCATCATCTTCAAAACACTTCTTCTTGTTTCCCAAATCATCTACAACCTTGCCCCATTATATCTCCAGAAGGTCGTTTCCATTTGGTACACAGCCATATCATCTACATCCGTCACCTCCGATCCCATTCTACCTGGACCTAAAAGCAAAACCCGCTGTACATGTGGCGCGACCGTGCCTTCTCTCTGCTAGCCCCGAGACTCTTGAACTCTCTTCCCATGCACATCCGTGAAACATACATTAGACTCATTCAAGATAGTACTTAAGAGCTTTCTTTTCTCATAAGCCTTCGATCAGTAAACTGATTTTTATACATGTACTTTCAACTTGGCGCTTTGAAACGTTGTGGAAAGCGCAGTATAAATGTTGTAAGTTATGGTTATAGTTAATTTGTGATCATTGCGATATTGGTCCGCTAAATCAAATGGAATTTCGATTATTAATTTGGCATGAATGAAATTTTACTCCGTGTGTGCCTCACAAGGCTCTGATATCGGTCACAAATGAAAATAACATTCTATAAACTATCTTTTAAAAAGTCTTTATGAACTGCTGGCATTGCATTTGACATTGTAGGTATTATTTTGGATGGAATTTTTACATTTTAGATAAAGAATACGACTTCAGTGTGGATTTCCTGTACATTTTTGCGGTAGAAAGCTCCAGAGATGCGGCCATTGTTAGGCTACGTGGTAAACGCATGTATGCAGATTTATCAGTGCACAATAAACAACTCCAAAGATGTAAGCCATTTTTTCATAGAAATTTTTCCATGACCAGTAAATTTCGGCACTTTGTTTTCTTTTAAACCACCCCTAGAAAACCCAGGTGCCTTTTGCTTAAGTTAGTTACCTGGTTGATGTTATTATTTGTTTCACATCTGTCCTGCAGGCAACGGCACCATTGACTTTCCTGAGTTCCTGACGATGATGGCGCGCAAGATGAAAGACACAGACAGCGAGGAGGAGATCCGGGAAGCCTTCAGAGTCTTTGACAAGGACGGCAACGGATTTATCAGGTATATAGGCGTGACTAAGTTTTGTTCTGCATTCGCATATTTTTTTTTATTTTGCCCCAAATCCAATCGGTTCACGGTCATTTCTTGCTTCCGTTGGCAGGTGCGTGAAGTAGACTTAGCGGTTGACAGTAGTGCCACGTTAGCTTAACACAGCGTTAACACAGTCACCGTTGCTTCACAGCCATTTATCGATATTGTAGCATTCTTACGAGTGTACCGAGCTTTACGCCTCTTTTTCGACTGATTGAATGATTTTGCGCATGTAGGCCCCTCTGAGGTTTTTGCCGAAAATCTACTTTAAAGATAGCACCACTGGAAGTCATTTCAACAGAATGGATTATTAATTTTCCACCACATCTTCCACTTAATTGCTTCTCTTTTAAATTCTGTCAGAGCATTATTCACCTCAAATTGCCCGATGCCTGATTTCTGTAGGTAACAGAGTGCATTTTGGCTCTTTGGAAATAAAATCCTTATTATTCCTCTCTATCTCTCCATTTCCAGTGACTTTTTACATTATTTTTTTCATATGAGTAGCTTTTGTTTCTTTCTCTGCTTATCCTTTATGGCCCTTTTTTTGGTTCACTGTTAATCCGCGAATCGTACCGCATTATTGTGTTTTTCTTTGTTCACTCCAATACTGTGTTTAGCAGTAAAACCAATCTTGCCACCAGGTTGTAAACATGAAGCTATATCGTGTCTAATTCCAGGGCGAATGTCAGTGTTCAATTGCTGAACGCATTCCATCAAAATTCTGACCCGTGAAAATTTGAACAGTTTTTCACCGAAAGCAAGAAAATGTCTAGAAAACTTTTTAGTTGCTAAAATTGCTTGCAATGTTGATGCAAGCTGTCACGTTGACAATTTCTTTACGACTGTTTGAAACACTGTTTGTTCTCTTTGCGTGGGTTAAACGTGTCTGATATAACAAAAAACAATAGCAATTGTCGACAGCCATGTGAATTAATGATGTTATGTACATCTAACCAACAAATAGTTGAATTGGAGAACTTAGTCCAGTTATTCCCATCGCCGTTTTCAGACAGTTGGCAGATAAAGGCCGTTTTCCAATACTCAACTTCGTCTCCGTCTCAGGCTTCGTTCCCGAAGCGTTTAAAACAAATTGGATTGCTTTGAGTTTTTGCTCTCTCGCATCTTATTTGGTGTTTTGTGGCACTATTAGACTAATTAGTGGGCTTACAGCTTCAAAGTCGGGTAGTAAAAAAACAGTTGAAGCCTGAGACGGAGCCGAAGTAGAGTATTGGAAAATGGCCAAAGGCAGCATCGTTGGCGTTTCATTCATACCACCGCTCACTTCCTGTTATCGCAGTGCTGCTGAGCTTCGTCACGTGATGACCAATCTCGGGGAGAAGCTGACGGATGAAGAGGTTGATGAGATGATACGAGAAGCAGACATCGATGGGGACGGCCAAGTCAACTACGAAGGTAAGGCTTTCCTTCAAATTACATGTATATTCATTCACTCGAACACGCCGGTGTCCCACCAGCAAGTCCATTTTTAAAATCAAATAGTTTTCAGTAAAAATCCTGTTTTGTCAACAGTTATCGTGGCACAAAACTGGATGTTTGAATTAAATTGAACCTCAAAATCCACGCGAACACCTTCAAGTTCAACTTAAGTTCATAAAACTTTGATCGCGCGCAACATTACCGTAGTCACTCGGGTTACGCTGGCGGCGCGACCTGCGACGCAGGTGACACTTTAACCCGTATAACGGAGGGGTGACGTTGCATGGGAGTTCTGACATTGCAAACAGAGGAGGCGGATCCACAGAGTGCTGATAAGGATTTCATGATCCGTCGCGATCGATGATCCGTCATTGGTTCACTGACACCAAAACCCGTCTAATGGATGGAGCGAACCAGTGAGCGAGATCCAGATCTGTGTGAAACAAATAAGCCCATTTATCCCGTGACAGTCGCTCGGTACAAACCGAACAAAGCGCTTCCCAACATTACAGGGGGCCATCGAAAAATGTCCAGTGAAACGTCGCTAGATTAGTCTGCACGCGGTCGATCCTGTTCGCCTACGCCGTTTGTCAGTCTAACAGGGCGCTTAAGGCTTTTGTTAAACGACAGCCATGGCATGGTTCGGGAGCGCTTATATATTCTCATAAACATTTCTGTATGACAAACTTCATGAGGTGAATAAAATATTTTTTTCCGTTTTCCCTGTAATTTCTGCAGAGTTCGTCTCCATGATGACACAGAAGTGAGCCAGGATCTCCCACAGTCTGTGGCATGTGCCTCTATTTGTAGAAAATATTCAAAAGATTCAAACCTCTATTTCGGGGAAAATTACAGCTTGATTCTAAGGATTGTAAACAAGAAGCAGTTTTTCTGCCTGTAAATCATTCCCCCTTGGGGTCGAGCATAGTAGTCCATTTCATTTTTTTTTCTAGTTTAACGAGAACTATATACTTTTAAGAACGCTCATTTTCATTCCAAACTGGCAATTTTATTCCAGAAACAGCTAAAAGTACTTGTTGGATCCATACTGTACATAGTGTTCAAAGATGTCAAACTTGTATTAGGACCAAAAATTCGTTAAGATGGTCACATCGAAATCGAATTCCATAGAGGGGGAAGATTTTCTTTTTCAAAGCCCGTCTCTACGGAATGGGTTGACGTTATGGGTTGGAATGTGCGCTGGTTGTTCATGCCGTTTGCCGTCATTCCATTTTTAATGCTTTAATGCCGAAATGTTTTAGTGCCGGGTGAAGAAGCTTCTGATTTTAATCTTGACACTTTAATTGTGTTTACATACTGCACAGTTTAATTGTAAGCTGAAATGGAGGGCAATACCAGAAAAACTCACGCCACACCACTGTTGTGCATGTTCCTAGGGGTTGTAAGTGTGTTATGCATTTTGTTTTAATTAATTTCACCATTAACTTATTACACTGTGGTGTACATGTACATTTTATGGAGACTTTACAAGCTCACGAGGTACCACCTTGAAAGAGAATCTAATTTTCATATTCCCTATGGAATCTTACTTCTTGCATTCCAAGAGTTGTAGCCATGACATTTACATCTCAACAGCCTGCCTTAAAGGTTACTCTTGCAGTGTAATTGTTGGACTGGTCCCTGTCTCTTTTATGTAGGGACCGGTCCTACGTTCTAGATATATATGCATCCACGCTCGGAGGAAATCTGTAAAACGCCTGGAGACTACGTACGGGACGGGAACCAGTCTGTCTAATTGCCTGCAGCGCCCTCTGTCAAAGTCACACGCAATAATATGATCCATCTTGTTTTGTTATTCAGCTTGTATTCAGTTTCAAACCTCTGTCATTTAATATACACTGTTTTATGAACAGTAAGTTGTTAACCCCTTTCTTTTGTCTGGTCTGTGCTGTACAACTCAATTCTATGGATCATGAATTTCTTTGAGATTCATCGTCAGAAAATTTGAGAGACTCGGTGTTTGAATTCGTCCTCGCATGTCGTTTCTCTTTGTGTAGATAATAACTCAATGCGATACAAATATTTACATTCCAGTTTCCCCTTTTATTATTTTAGTCGAGCTTTAAATATTTTTGTATTATTTACTTGAAGAACTTCATCCGGTTGATATAATGTTTCTGAAGATCTGAGGTCTTTAGGTCTATGTACATGTATAACAAAACTCTGTTTGAATAGAGGGGACTGAGTCGACCTTTTGGAATTAGGTGCAATAAAAGGTCATCGTCGTGTCGCATTAATCGTTTCAAATAAACTCTTCTCTTTTATCCGCAAAGCAAGTTTAATGGCTATCGTCTGTTCCACATAAACGTGCTGTATATCTGGAACACAGTTTCACAAAATGTACAATATGATCTGTGCTTTATAGTCATGGAATCGAGTTAACAGAAATCATGTCAACGTCGAGATAAGATTATTTCTAGTCGATAAAACTATACTTCTAAAATATTGCGTTCGCTGTATATTGGCGTGAATTAATACGTTTTAGGTGTAATGTTCATTTCAAAATGATAAGAATGGAAAAATGTATATTATGCGAATTAAATAAGCAAAAGCAAATCAAAGCATTTCCTTAGACTAAATATTAACAAGCAATCGTTCCACTCCAAGGAATTAGATAAATATGCATAAATGTCCTTTCTTATATAAGTCACGCAAAAAACTAAAACAAACCAAAACAAATTTAAAAGGGAAACATAAAACACAAAATGAAGATGCAAGAAATGACAGCTGGGTTCACAGAATACTTCAGTGCTTCTTTAGTGACTTCCTTTACATGATCTTCACTGGTTAGATGCGGCAAATCAATTTCTTGAATTCTGCAAGAAAAGGTGGGAAACCTGGATGAGGATTCTTGAACGGGCTGAAGGGAGTACAGATCCACCTCCCCCCATGCTACATGCATCAGTGGGTATATACTGTGAATGCAGGACCCCAGAGGACTCATATAATTATCTTTTCACATAATTTATTCCGCTGGTTCAATTTGTTGGGCGGTTGAAAACAAGGTCAAGGTCACGAAAAAAAATATGGGTCTGGAAATGGATTTGATCTGAAGTTGATATCGCCATCACCATCTGGCGAGTGCCAGAATCTTGAATATTTGTGTCTTGAACAATTTGTGTTTGCAAGAGGGCGCTGCAAAGCTACAAACAGCAGCTGTTTGTTTCTTCGCGCGTAAATACATGTAGAAGCCAAGAAACTGCCTGCAGACCAAAGTGATTACAGTTTGTGCGTCCTCTTAATTCCACTTTAAAGTAGAGGCCGCCGTCCAGCATTCATAGAGTCTTCGGTTCTCATTTAAAAGAGCAGTGGAGGGTTTTTCTGTCAGAGCATTGATGGGGGAAGTCCAGACTAGAGACTATTTTTGCGGGACTTGTGGCCTTTTAGAGTTGATTTGGTTCGGGCTGAGCTGGTGCTGACTCGGTAGCCATTCTTAATTTGTGCTTAGAAGGGTGGACGTTGGTAATAGCCTGAGCGGCAGTTGAGGGACATTTTCAACGGCCATTCTCTTGAGCTGGTCTTCTGGCAGCGCATTTTTATTTACATTTACAAATGCTTTTTAAGTAACAAGTCAAATCAAGTTTTAAACATCATACATTTCCAACAGTTTTATTCAACGCTTTTACCTCATGTTTTTCAAACACCTTCTAGCCATGTTATGGTTAGACTTGATGCCAAGTTTGTCATTGGCTCCATAAAAATGGTTCTCCAAGCGCAATGCCGTTGTAATCTATACACCCTCATTACTTGCTGCCATCCGGACGTTGTACTTGTGCGGGGACGTTGGTTTCCTCCCCTACCAGTGGATGATCGACCATCCAATTAACTACTCGGAGAATTCGTTTTGTACACAACGTACAACGAGAATTGCCCAATGTTCCAGCGAAGCACTCTGATTGGTTTAGATTCTAGAGGGGATACATTAAGAGCAATCTTATGCTGCACAAGTCATGTTCTGGGGCGCTTCCCGAGGCTCACTCACTCTGGGTCGGTTTGATTCGCGCTGATCTGAATAGAGATCAGTGATCTCACGTTGGTTCACTCACACCATATGGACGGAGCGAACCAGAGTTGGGATCACTGATGGAGATCCGTGTGAAACAAACAGACCCACAGTGCGTTGTTAATCGATCTTCATTTCACAAACATAACGATTCCAGGAATGAAGTAAGTTGTCGGTAGAATTAGAACCCCCGTTCCACTGAGATAGTGGGGGTAAGCGCTGCAAAACCTGAACAACTACAAGCAGAGCTGTTCCATTCATGAATATGTGTTGTATTGTAGAAAAAAATGTTTTCTGCTAAAGCAACATTCTCCTGACTAGCATCCGACTTGGATAGGACTCGACAATTTGCACTAAGGCAGAAATAGACGGCGACGGTTCCAATGGCGACTATCACAGTGTCAAGCGATGGCTTGCTATTTAGTTATCATTTAAACCCTTTATACCTTCATCTGATTGTGGCTGAACTCCCTGTTGGGGGGAAAGGACTTCATATTGTGAGTGTACATGTAATGATGCATTAGAAACTTTTAGCGACAGATGCATTCTTCTGTATATATGCATAATATTTCGACCAAATCTCACAAAGCGGAAATGAAGGCCAGAAATTATTTCTCCCAGCCGTCCATAAACTATCACTGTTCCACTTCAGTATGTTCAATGAAAACATTCCGATACAAACGCACCTTGAAAAGTCAGTTTGCCGTCTGTGTTGAGGTCCACATTCTTGATCTCAGCTTGTAGTTTCTCTGGTGTCAATTCGATCCCCATATCCTGAAGCAATGCGTCTAACTCCTCAGGGCTGAAATACACGGAAAGAGATAACTGCATTTTATGTCTTTGCACCCTTCTGAAGAAAATTCATTCATCATGAGCTCTTGAACTAGAAGAGTTTACCCCGACGAAATAAAATATTGGACAGTTAAATTCACAAAGGTTATTCTCAGATACTCCTCGAATATATTATTATTAAATTTGATTATTAAAATACGACTGTTAAATTTACGGTCCAGTATTGTTGGAATACTCGTACGCAGCCGCACTCGACTCTCGATCGGTACTCGCAAATAATTTGCGTTCGGCCCATACTTTGGCGTAGGATTATAGTGCTCTTACTCGAAGTCTTGTAGTCTGTACCCTACTCGGGTACAAGTACAGGACATGTATTTTTTATCGATTCCATTTTGATAGAATCACCGAATCAGAAACCGGAGCAATGATATCTGCGTCTGTTTTCAAAGATGGGGTACCTGGTTCCGTCTATTATGGCCTTAGATTCTAAGTACTTTACTTTCACGAGTACGAAAGCCCACATGGACTGTTAAGGACTAAATTCATGTTGATGTGCGTTTGTTTAATTCACGTCTGCGTTCATCAACGCGTACCTGCGTTTGCGAATGTGCACCATAATTTGAAATTGATCCTCTTCGTTTGGTTTGTTCAGTCCTTGATGTCGATTACGTTTAGAGTTAGAGATTACATTTAATGCTACCTGAGTTCAACAAAGTCGTAAGTAATTTATATGCTTCAATAATCAAGTGATTCGTACACTGGCTTACTTCTAAATAATCCGATATAATGAGTGAAACCAAGTATCTGGATTTCATAATGTTCGTGTTGATTTGATTTAGATTAAATGAAGTCATCACAAGTGGCCAGCTGTCACAAGTGAAGTTTAAAGTAGAAACCGACCGTAGCATCACTGAAAGCTTGTCGCTGTACAATCTCTTCAAGTACCATGAAGAATGCCCTGACCTAAAGCTACCCATGCAACCTCAGTGGCTAATGCAAGCACAAACGGGGAGCGAGAGCAGTATTATGGCATCATTAGATGCTACATTTGTTTAGATGCGAGGAGAATTTGCCACTTTCGTCATTATACGGGTAATAATGACCCATTAAATTCTCTATTTAATTACCTTTTCGCGTGAAAGAAACATGACTGATCTTTAAAAACTGCCTGATGAATTCCTGAATAATGCTTTCAGCTCATGACATCTACTTAATCATAGTTAATGCGCTGTCTTTACTTAACAAAGCTTATTGAAGTTAATGGTAAAGCAAAGATATCTCTTTCGTTCCCTGTTAGGTTTCAACCACACACTGTATAGCTTCCTGCAAATTCGAGGAATTCCATTGAAAGACCCCAGGGGTGACTGTCGAAATGGTTTCGGTTAATAAAATAATTCAAATACACTCAATATAAGTGTATTTATCCTTTTTAAATTTGTGCATTTCCCCCATAATTTTATATCTAGCCATTCTAGCACTTAACCTGTCTAGTTCTTGAACAAACTGTTACCTTGTGATGTGATAGTCTAAGAATCATTGCGTGAGTTGGTTACTTTGCATAAAAAATGCCAAAGGCTCCCCAGACTCAATGATATTATTATTATTATTTAAATCATGTTAATGTGGTCAATTATCTCCTTTTGCTGCCAATCATGTTTCTCCTGTGAATTGTTTACATTCTTTTGACATTATGATTTGTGCCACTGTAAGAAAGTGAAGATGTTACATCATTGGAATTATGATACATGCAAAATATATCTAAAAATGAATCATGTTTTGTACAGATATTGCTGTTTGATTTTTTTCCTCTGCAGTTAAGCTACATGAATTACTTTAATATAGCTTTACGTTTTGCCCATTGTCAAGTCTATCATGATGGTTTCAGGGAGATCTTTAAAAATGTGGATTTGTGCATTATGCAGGACCAAACTGTCTCCATCAATCTTCATGAACTTAGTCTAAAGTTAAAAAAATAATAATAAAGTGAAAAAAAAACAACCTACCAGCAACAATGGTGAGCACAGTATCATTAATACGGTTGCGAAGCATGCCCTACCTAAATACACTGCATTTAAATAGTCAGGTACTAGCATTTCTTTTTTTTCAACAAATGGAGGCTCAAAAGTACAAATATCCCATAAAAATTGTCATACTGGCCTCGAAAGGAAGGCTGTTAGAGTGGAGTTGAACTGGCATTCTATGCATGTTAACGTGACGAATCCACTGGCCTCTACATTTTGCGTTTTCCGGAATCTGCGCGCAGTGTTCAGTTATATGAATGGGCGCGCACCGGCGAATAAATGACCATTTGCACGGACTAGAGAATCCTGATTCCCCAAGTCCGTTCAAGCGCTAATTCATGAGAGTGGCCAGTTCGCTGCTTTTAGTAACTGACAATATAAGTAAAAAAACTACGCGTTTTCAAGTCTTAAAACTTTTGCGGGAATGTATAGGGCAGACAGAAATCCCACAAACCGAAATTGTTCAAACTATCGACTCGAGATTTTCCCGGATTTTTCAAGCTTATATGCAAATAATTACACAACCTTTTGTAAACATGATAAAATGCATGCATTCAACTTACACTCTTTTTAACATTTCATTGTTCATGTATCCTTATGTGTGATGCCAAGTATAGCATCCATGTGTTTTTTTAAGATCATTAAATTTACAAAAATAGTAAACCCATACATATTCTTCAAAAGTTAAAATTTCTACGTGAATTTCATATTTTCGTGTAATTGCGCATGCACAGAGCTAAATCAACCAGGCGCGGTCCCAAGGAGCATAGCTACCGGTCCCTCTATATTAATCAGGGACCAGGACCAGTCCAACCCAAAGCATGGGCAAGCAATGTGTACTAATGTTACGGTCTTAGGTGTATACACGATGAATAGGGTGCTATTCACTAATTCAAGCCCCATCGAAAACAGTGTGAAATCAACATTGTTCGGGGCCCAATAACACGCACATCAACATGCCTGAGGTGTCTGAAACAAACACTACGTTATTATCTGGTCCCTAATCTTTCAATTTTTAATTATGAACTGATCTGTAATTGGACTGCACCCTGAACTGCTGGTAGCGTTTTTGTGTGTGTGTGTGTTTTTTTGTTTTTTTGGTTTTTTTTTTTTTTTTGGATTGCATTCTGGTTTGGCTGTAGCCAGGCCGTTGGAACGATGCCAAATCCCGGCCATGCGATGCGCAGCATACAAGGTACGCACGAAGTTTCCAAGCATGACTGAGGGTGTTCTAATTATTTGCGGTTCGCGTCTATCAACAAAATTAAACAAGTTCAACGCCTTACACGATAGATAGCAATATTTTCACTAGAATTTGATAGGCAATTCAAAACTTCATGCGTCATTATTGATTTTTTATTGTGATTTTGAAAAATTAAACGTCTTTTCATGATAAATTCTTTTGTGATGACGTCATCAGCCTGCAGTTTGGCACATGGATTGTATAAAGGTCATTTCATCTGCCACTTTTTCACTTGATTGCGGCAAACTTCGCCACAGACATTAACTAAAACTACATTTTCATTTTTTTCAACCTGCTGCCTTAGGGAGCTCGAGTTTTTCATGAAGTCACCTATACATTTAAGAAACAAATTCCTATCTGACACAGTCAATGGGGTAAAATAGATATTCAAAATTTAATAATAAATTACATGATGACGTTATCATGATGTCATTCTTCGCAAAATATCTTTGCTGTATATTCTGTGCGTCAAGTCTCCATATCTTAGGACTTTGTTTAATGCCCAAAATACCGACAAGATTAAAAATATACACAAAGTCTGTGGGATTTGGGAAAGAAGACCGAAAGGAAAAAAAACAGAAAACAAACAAATTAGTAGACAGACATTTAAAAAACGAAAAAGACAAGTGGAAAAACAAAAAATCTTTACAAAAAGAATGTCTTGCTGGCAAAATACAAGCAACCCCCCAAAACAAAAACAACACCTTTTCCCTCAATATGCGAAAAAGCCCATCACGACGCTTCTGTGGCTCTTCAACGACTAAAATACATAGAGCGATGGTTCCCTCTGTGTGACAAAAGGCTGGTAGTATTTAAATTGTTTCCCACTTTCCGGGCAATAGTCTTTCCTCGGTTGCGAAGACTACTAGCAACAGGTTAGCGAACCAAGCCCATTTTCAACCTCAACCATTAACTCTGGATGAAGCGCTCTGTCTAAACGAATCCATCGGAAAACCTCACCTGATATATCCGTTGTTGTCTTTGTCGTATTCCTCGAAGGTCGGTCTCAATTTCTGGTCAATGTCTGCGTCTATTTTGATCATCAGCTGAACAAACTCGTCGTACTCCAGGATTCCAGTTTCTGTTAAATTCGTTCCACCCCAACAACAAAGACTGTCAAAAAACCTCTGTAGAACAATCAATCTTGTTTGCACACAGGCATTATTATGACCAGTAAATTCGCCAAACTAAACTGTATGTTTCTTCACCCTACATGTAATCTATGCGAAACCAGCAACCATGGATTTTCGAATCATGTGTGTCTTGAATACGGACCCGACTTCAAGTTGTAGTTTATACCTATTTTCAGTGCGTTTTGTTTGTTTTTTCTTCAGATGAGAATATCTATCATTTCCAACTATGACAGCTTGTTTAATGGTGTGCAGCCGTAAGACTGAGCTAACTTACTGTTCTTGTCAAAGCCCTCCATGATCTTCTTCAAGCTTGTCTCGGTGGGGTTCCGATTGAGCGCCCTCAGCAGTCCCCGCAACTCGTTCTTATTCATCTTGCCATCTCTGTTCTTGTCGTAACTGCTAAACGTTTCTTTGTACGCTGTTTCAATCAACAAATAAGGACTTGCAAGACTTGCAATGTTTGCATGTGCTCTCTCTCTCTCTCTCTCTTCAGGTCGATTTTTTTTTACAATTACAGAATAAAAAACACGAACTGATCGATGCAAACATTACAACATGTGCAGGTCTCGGGAAAATTAAGGGAAAAAAGTAAAATCTCATTCAAGTTATAGCGAGAACGCTCATGTCTAATCGATTTCATGTTGCACTCTGGGCTCAATTGTGATGACGGAAAGAGAATTTCCATTCTGAAAAACAAATACGTCTCTTCTCCATTGGCGGCCATTTCTTACTTCCGTTGGCAGTGCACGGTACAGTGTTCGGGCAGCCAGCCTATTAAAGCTGTGTATGGTGTTCTTCATCTACCTGCAATCTCGTTTGTGCCTCGCGTGAAAAAACTATAAAACTACATACTATAAACTATAGAACTTTAAAACACCAATGTTGTTTCCTTACATGGTGTCCCCGCTCCGCTATTGCCGCGCTACAGCCATAGTTTACGTGCTTCCTGTCATAAGGTATATAACTATTCTGTCGATGTTTGCAGTGTATTGCACTATCACCTAATAAAGATGGGAAATGCCGCATGCGACGGAGAGATTCAAACGCGAGATGCGAGATGGCAGACACAGAGCACCATAGCCCTGGTCACGAGTCGACCCCATTGTGCCGACACACAGACGGCCCGTAGGCCTTTGCATAGTGCTCAGTAGCAGCAGTGCATAATTATTCCTGAAGATTATACCTCTAGCTCACAGCACTACGACCGTTGCAGTCGACGGAGGAAAAGTGTTTTAGTGTAAAAATCGCTGTAATTACTTCTCTTGATGTATCAGTCCATCCCTGATTACCCCCCTGTCAATACAGTGCTCTGCTATATTTTTAAATCATCGAAAAAAACTGGAGCGACATTCTCACTGGCAAAAATTACATTCAAAAGAAAAAAAAGGGATAATTCTAAATAGACTATTTTAAGCCGGCCTCAAATTCTAGGCCCCCTTGTTCTTTGGCTCTTTGTAGGTAAACAGACATCGGAATAATGCAATCCACGAAGGTCGTTGAAGACCATATAGTTTACGTACCTTTCTTTTTCTCAGCGCTGAGTGTTCCCTGTCAAAGAAAAGGAAAGTCGTTCAGCACTTTTTGCTAAAGCTAGAGCAAACAAAAAATCTTGGAAGCACGGTGCTGACGAAAGTTACTAAATTTTGAGGAGACTTTCTCGGGTTTCGATAGCATCCGTTGTAATTTTGCATGTACGTGGTGAATTGCTTTGTAGGGAAATAGGGGTTTCCTGGTGTGCGCTGCCAGTTACGATAAGTCGCCTGACTATTCAAGACCCGGTATTCGCCGAGTATTAGGCCTAGGTACGCCGTGCTACTGCCGCGTGAACTCAAAGTATTCAATATTTTAAGTTCTGCAGGGCAAGAATAGCACGGCGTTTAGCGCAGTTCGGCGCGGCAAATTGAATTCGGGACTGTAAGCTCTTTAGCTTGGCTGGGTATGCCGCGCTATCGTTGTGCCAAATGGAAGTGGCACGACACTGCTCAATTTAAATTTGGCTTTTAGCGCAACCGCCGCGCTATTGCCGCACTCCTCTTGGCCTTAGTCACAGCGCATGGTAGAGAGTGTGCTGCCTGCTCACGCTAATTCACTACCGAGGAGTATGGAATTCCATATCTGCCGTCGCCCG